CTTTGTTGCATAATTGGTATCTTAGCAAGATGCTAGTGAACATATATAGAGGGGTGTAGTCTTGGTTAGACCGATTATTTTAATTCCGCATTTATATCGGTTAGCCGATGCGATTAATTTTAGAAAAGACTATTCATCCCCCTTTAGTCCGCCATCTCGACCCTTTCAACTACCCACCAGGGTTTAAACCCAGGTGTTTGTACCTTTTTCTAAAATTTTCTAAAAAAAAATTAAGGTACACGTACGTGTGCGCGTTCAATGATACTGCGCGTTTTCCGTGCACTAGAGGCTGGAGAGCCCCTCAATCTCTTTTTTGCGTGTGTACACCCCTCAATCACTTGTGTACTCCGTAGCACTTAAGCACTGTGATCCGTTGATCCATTAGGGCAAGTGCAATGGAGGCATACAATATTGACTACCTCACATAAAAGTTATCATCCATGTAGGATTAGATGCACTCAAGCTATTGTGTTTCCTAACCTAAGGTTTAAGTATGCAGTTTTTTCTTGTAGGGTCATATCAAGGTCATGTCAATTTTTTTTTGTCAATTTTTTTTTGTCTCTGTGCAGTGGTAGGATAGAAGTCACATGCCTAGAGAAAAAACATTTATCATAAACACATTTGCTTCCAACGCGTTGCTTTTTGATTGCTTCTGTAAAAAGTGATCTGACCTGGGCGGCTCCCTAGTGCTAGTGCTAGTGCTAGTGCTAGTGCTGGTTGTAATAGAAGCAGCATTATTGCAACCCGTCAAATCATCCCCTCCTTGCCGCCGCATACGCGCAGGTGGTGGCGTCACCAGCGCGTCGCTTGCTGACGCCGCCTAGATCATGCCAATGGCGGCGATCCCCAGCACGTCGCCGTTCAACGACCTCGATCACGCCACGTCGCCGCTCCTACCGTGCCCCCATACATGGTGCGGCAACGTGATTTCGCCGCGCCATGCGAATAGGTGCAGCAAAAAAAATGTTAGATTTGAAAAAAAAAACAGTGTTAGTTTTAAAAATAATTTAAAAAAGTGTTAAAAAAAACGGCCCCAATTGCGCCAGCGCTTCGCTCACTTGCTGTTGCTGACCTGCGCTCCCGCGCGCGGTCCCGCCTCGTGGTCTCTCGCCGTTGCAGACTTGCAGTAGCTAGGACTAGGAGCTTCGTGGCCAACTGGCCATCTCACCGAAAGACACGCAGGTACTACAGTGAGATGAGCATGAGACGATGAGATACTCCTACACAAGTCTACAAGTAGTAGTAGCCGCCGTCCCAGCGCGGGAGAAAGGCGATCGATCCCACGTCCCCGCCTGTATCTTGCCGTCCAGGAACCATCTGATACCGATGGTTACTGTTGTAGTATAACGGTATAGGTAATGTTTTGTAATCTGGCACTATATAATCATGTCAAAGCGCATGGTTAGTGGCGACACCTCGCACCCCCACATGTACACCATCATCAGCGCGGCATGAGGAAATTTCTGCTAGGCGCCGGGCGCTGCCGCACGTTGACTACGGGCGGCCGGTGCTGTGTAGTGGTGTGCTAGATTCACTTGCATTAAAAAACACACACGCACGTACTCTAGACGGAAGGCGATTTTTTTTTATCATTGTTAAGAAAAAAAAAGTAGACATCAAAATTCGAGGTGGTTGAAATGAATATATCTTCCACCCTAACCAATCGAGGTAGACTCACTTCCTACATCATCAAAATTAGGGAGAACGGTTTTATGAGCACTTCCCATGAGTACATTCCTGTATTACAATATCTAGAGTTAAAACTATACGCATCCCTACTCGTGGACAATACAATGTTCTGTTATTCTTCACTAGCATATATTCATCTACTTCCCTTTTTGGAGATAGGTTTGGCGTTCGGTTGTTTGAGATGAGAAAGGAGGAGTTTTCCTCACCGCCTATTTAGGAATTTGGAGTCTGGACTAATGTTTGGTCCATTTTGGTGAGAACCATGTGGACTTGTGGTGGAGGAAAAAGAGCCGTCTCTTGACGACAAGCTAGTCATATGCACACGCATTTCCTTTAATCATCTTGCTTAATTTGCTTTAGAGACGCATTAGTTTAATCATTTAACTGCTGGAGGTGCCAAGAGACCGTCATTCCATGTGATGAAGCCAAATGAACGTCATTCGAGTAGGAATCGCTGATGAGTAGAAATCAGAGTAGGACGAGCGGAAATACATTAGAGGTCGCATCGCATGTACAATTAGCGACTGTTGTCCCTTGTAAATTGTAAGGAAAAAGTCTACTCCACCCTCCAACTATGGGGTGGTCTACATAACCCCTCAACTATAAAACGGTCTGATTTACCCCCTGAACTTTTCAAAACCGTCTATTTTACTCCCTCAGACGGTTTTCTACAGTGTCGGGGTTTTTTTTTTTCCTTATTTCCGCTGAATCTTTGAAAAATCATAGTAAATCACAGAAAATCATAAAATAAAAAATCTAATTTTGTTGGACTCCACATGAGTAGATCTACACAATGAACATATAATATAGACGCTTTTAGTACAAGTTTTTTTTTGCTGTAGCTTTAGATTAATTGAAAATTCAATTTTTGTCCAATAATTAATTAGAGAGTTAATTATTAATAAACTATAGTAAAAATTTCGTACTCATTGGACCATATATAACTTAGTTATGATAAATTCTAATTAATGGTGAAATTTTTAATTAATATAAATCTCAAAGAAAAGTTTTGTGTTAATTATTATATGTTTAAACTATAGTCCAAAAAATTAGATTTTCTCATTGGACCATGTATAACTTAGTTATAGATAAATTCGGTTAATTAATTAAATCGACATAATAGTTGTGACCACCCCATGTGTGTGTGGGGGTGGGGGTGAGGCGGTTGGAGTAGACTTTTTCCTAAATTGTAATATATTGTCTAGAAATATGTAGTCTCGTCGATTGTTAGAAATAGTAATAGGACCCACCGTGAACAGCTGAATAACCACCTTACTCCATATCACTATATTCTGAAACCACAAACCAAACAAGCCCTGATTATCAAGGAAATCTCTCTTCTATTATTATATATATAGACATCCTGAAGATTCAAGAACTCAAGGATCACATGATAAAATTCCGAAAGATTCACAAACCAAGTTGGTAGAACCTCAAACTGTTCCATACTGTTTTGACTGGCAGTTGAGTTTAATCTACTCACCAATGCTTAATGTGCCGAGCACTCCCTACGTGTCCAATGCACTAATGACTAGCTCCACATTCAGCCAAACTCAGTTAAACTTGTACAACTACAGGCTACTCTCCCATATAGATGATTCTTTGTTTCCTTCAAAAGCAAATCAATAAGATTATTAACATCTAAAAGGTGCCATCAATTATATGGATACTCTCTGATTTAGAGATTCCTCTTCAATGAAGGTAAAACAAATCAACAAATTAGCATGAAAAGGCCACCCGATCCTTCTTGAAATCAATGTTACACTGAGCATATGTTGCTCAACTTTGAATGCATCTGGACTCAAGGTTTGTAAATCATCTAGTCGATCGACTAGTCTCGATTAATCGTCAACCAGACCGACCACGTCCTGTATATTCTAGGACTGATATACTATATAGTATAAACTATAAAGCAAGCAGCAACAGCATCAAGCCATCAAGCAGAGGCTATAAGGCTTAGGCAAGAAGATCTGCAGGAGGCAAGGGGCACACTCAGTCCAAGGAGAGCTCATCCTGTAATCCCTGTAGTGGGAGTGCGGGACTGCAGGAGCCGGCAAATGCAGCAGGGACCATGGCCCATGGGAGGCGGGGTGGGGGGAGGCGGCGGCAAGCAGCAGCTTCAAGAAGGGAGCCGTGAGCCGGAGGTGCTTGAAGGAACAGGATCCCACAATGCTTGAGGAAGGGCGCCCAGCGAAAACAATGACAGCAGCTTGAAGCGGACATCAGAGTGGACATGTGAAGGCACAGAGCTGATCTCTGGAGGCTCCCCTCTCTTGTGACTTGTGGTATCCTAACCCTACTGGGCCAGATTGGGCCCAGCGACAACAACCAACCTAGTCATGGCCAATCAGTAATCACGATTTATTGATGACTAAGCAGACGATCAGGAACCTAGTCAAACCCAGGTTCCGCTAATTGAGTTCAAGAGACTGAATAGGTTGACTAATCACGATTAACTACTTGTAAACAATGTCTGGATATTTGGTCCTGCGGCCAAAATGAACTCATAACAGATGTAACCAGAAAGAATATTATGAATACTAGGAACCTGGAACACTACACGCCTATAACAATAAAGAAGAAAAGACTTGATCTGTTTAAGCCACTTTCCTACTTAGTATATCCAAGGGGCAAAATGAACACACAAATTATGAACAGATAACCAAAAAAACATCAGCTCATTATCATGAATACCAGGAATTTCAAATGTATACAACCAATAGCTAAACAGAAAAAGGGCACTGAAGACAAAATTACTAACATGATTCATGTGCGGATGTGTCAATTGCATCTTAGAATTACATAGCAGAGGGTTCAAACGGCACACCACCAGAATATAAACCCCACTCAGCATACAGAGGTGAGATAGCCAGAAAGGAAATGCTAAAATGACACTAGTAACTACATGATCCTTCTACTAGACAAGTCCAAACATACATCATGTTGCTATGCAAAAGCCCTGATCATAATAGTTCCAATCTTAAGGTTGTTCAATATCTTATGTTGTCAAAACATTGCACGCCTCATGCTTCCCATCAAAACCGACAACATTCTAGCAAAACAGTACAGAAAACATGCCACAGAATAATAGCTTTCAAGATAATTTGATACAATATATAGATTATACAGATCAAAGAATATTTTGTATGTAAATTTGTAATTCCATACTTTATAACAGCATAATTGCAAACTATTCCCCCAAAGGCACAAGTATAGTAAAGACTAAACAGTTCAAATAACTCACAGATCTCATGCGAAGGATGCAGTACAGTGGTAGTACAATATTACATCAGGGCGCTAGAAAGACATCCCTAGTCGGCCAACTTGTTCAGGCGGTGAATTGTACTCCTGGCAAGCCGATGTGTAGGGTCAATCTTCAGAACCAAACGCAGGTCCTCAGCACCAAGCCTATATTTCTCTGTGCTTTCATAAAGGAGAGCACGCTGCACTAGCACTGAGACATTCTCCTTATCTTGATCCAGCACCTGCACAGGAGATAAAACCATAGACTCACTACTACTCTGAATACATTTGTTTACCATCATTCAAGTCTGCTAGCAACAATCATATCATGCTAAATAGGTTATCATATTAATCAAAGTGCACTTTCAGACCAATCAATATGTCTACAGGACAACGCAATACCTTCGAGCAGTCAGCGATGGCCTTCTTGTACTCACCAACCTCCTTATATGAGGAAGCTCTTGAAGACAACACCTCGACAATGTCAGCATCTTTCCCTGATTTCTCAATTAGAACAAAAGCCCATGACAGCCACTTGATAGCATCAGCGTACTGCCCTCCCTTGTAGCTATCCATCCCTTTGGCCTTGGCAGCTGATACTGTCAATCCGGATGGTGGCGGTGGCAGGCCATCCAGCTCTGTGGTTGTGCCACCACTATCACCAGCACCAAAATCTGCCTCCACATCGACCCAACCATCCATCTCACCAAACATGTCACCACCACTGGCACCATTACTGGCGGCAGCTGCAGTCGGTGCACCTGTGGTTGAAGCAAAAAGATTGTCCAAAGGATCCGTGCTAGAGTTAACCGCTGCAGCCACAGGGGTAGGCATTGAAGCTGGTGCTGGCGGTGGCGTAAAGCTGGAAGGTTTAGCAGCACCAGTGCTTTGGAAACCACCAAATCCAGCATCAGCACTCTGGAAGCTCCCAAATCCAGCAGCAGCACTGGAATTCACACCCTGGAAGGCTCCAAATCGCTGATCTGGCTTGACCGAATTGGCCTGCTTCGCCGTTTTCATGGACCCAGGCTTTGCGGCAAAGGGATCTATTGAGCCAAATGGATCCTTCTGCTGCCCCGTCGGCTGCGCCGCAGCCGTCGCGGCCATGCCCACGGGCTTCATCGGCCGGCCACCAACGCCGTATCCACCGGAGCCCATCGGCGCTCCCGTAGTTTTCGGGAGCGCGCCCGCCATGCCGCCCATCGAGAAGGGAGAGCTGTTGGCGTTGGCGTTGGGGTTCGCACCGGCTGGCCTGGATGCCTGCGGCGCGGCGGCGGATCTGAGCGGCGCGTTGGACTGGGCGCGGGAGGAGCCGAGCGCGGAGCCGAGGAGGTCGCTGAAGAGGCCGGGGTTGTTGGCCTGCGGGACGCCGAGCCCAGAGGAGGGCGCGGCGGAGGACCAGCTCCGGCCAAAGATGTCGCCGACCATGGAGGTTGGCCCGGATCCGGGCCCCACCATGGTGGCCGCCGACGAAGCGGCGGGGGAAGGCTGGTGGGTCCACGACGGCTTGGCGCTGGCGGGCTGGTGCGTCCACGTGGCTCCGGTGGCCGGCCTCGCTGGAGGGTTGGTGGCCGCGCCCGGCCGCTGGTCGCGGAGGGGGCGGGAGCCGGAGGAGCGGGAGGCGTTGATGCCGAAGTCGAACTGGTAGGAGTCGAAGGAGGTGGTGGTGGGGCGGGAGGAGGAGGAGGAGGAGCGGTCGCCGGAGTAGGAGTTCATGGTGGCCGGTGCCGGAGATCTGCGAGGTGGATTGGGAAGGGAAGGAGGCGATTGGGGGCGGTGGCTTCCCTTCTTTATTTGTTCGTTTGATTTTTGTTCTTTTTTCTTGCCTTTTTTTCCTCCGTTTGGGGGCGGAATCTGCGGTGGGACCGTGGGAGCACGACGGTAGGTGGCGCGGCTGGTGCGTCCGCGTGCGCGTTGTAATGGAAAGCTTGCGGCGTCGCTTGCCACAGGCGGCCGGCTGTATTCAGCTTCAGCCTTCAGCTAACAGTGTGCCCGGTGGCCCGGCACGGCCCGCCCAGCCGGCCTTACTGGCCCTTCAGAATATATCGGTGGATTTTAAGCGAAGCAAGTGCTCGTATGTATCTCCCTCCAGCAGCAGCTAAAAGCCCACAGCTACCATTCGGCATGCGTAGACACAGCCGTTGCAGGTCGGACAGAAAAGAAAAGAAAGGAAAAACGTCGTGGGAAAGTTACGACCAGCTTCGTGAATTGTCGATTGTTCAAAATCCTCGATAGTAATTTCTAATTCGAACTTACAAAAAAGACAGTCGAAGTGATAGTAAATTATAATCCTCCATCCAGGAAAGAATGCAATTCTAGCGCAGTGTCATAGTTTTGTATCTTAAGTTCGATCAATTATAAATAAAAAATATCAATATTTATGATATCAAATAAATATCATTAGATTAATTATGAAATATATTTTTATAATAAATTATTTTGGAGCCATAAATTGTGAATAGTATTTACTAGAAATTTAGTCAAACGTGAACTACTTTTGTTGGCACGCAACACGTAGTTGTATTCTTTTCTGAACGGATGTAGTACATACATAGAAGAACAGATAAGAAAAGAAAAAAGGCTAAATGAAGACAGTAGGGTAGATTTTATTTAATTCTTCTCTATTAGTTTTCCCAGTTTTAATAGCATATATATCTCGTAGATGCTATGTTGCAACAATAATGTTCCTTAGTAAACCCTACAATAAAGCGAATGTATTCTTCTAGTTTAATTTAAATGGGACCCCACAAGCCAACGGCTTAAAAAAGTATGGGAAAATTATCTTAAACCTATGCGGCAAATATTTTGAACACCTAACCTATGGGCTATGGCTGATTTTATAGAGAATAGGATAATTTATATCTAGGAAGTAAAATACGGCCATAGGTCCATATGCACCGGTCCATGCGCACTTTTATTGGTCCAAAACCTGTGTTCCAGATGTTTAAGTCTACAAACAACTTTGTGCACTGCTCATAGGTATCTCTACAACTAAAAACATGCGGTGACTTCGTCAGTTTTAAAGATTTACCGATCCAGTATGCGAAGATGCTCACGGAGATAGGGTTTGCATGCGTGTCTTCATAAGAGTAAGTGTGCACGCATTACTAGCGTCTGCGTTGTACTGTATAATTTAAAAGAAAACTAAAATCCTCTCTCTCGAAAAAAAAAAAAGCTAAAAGCCCACGACTAACTGCGGCCTTGCGGCTCAGACAGAAAAGAAAAGGAAAACGTCGTGGGAAAGTTAGTACAACCAGCTTCGTCAGCCGTCAATTATTCAAAATCCTTAGTATTAATATCTAATTCGAACTTACGAAAAAGACACTCGAAGTGATAGTAAATTCTAATCACTGGAAAACCAGTAGAAGGAAGAATAGAGAAGAAAAGAAAAGGTGAAATAAAAGCATTTCTGCAAGTGACGGAATGGTCGCGGGCTGGATCCATTCCGCTTCCCCCGGTCCGCCGCACCACCCTCGTGCCCATGCCCGGCCATGCCCATAGCCCAGTCTGCTACCGCGAGCAGCGAGCCGACCTGAATTTTCTCGCGACGTCGTGCGGCTTCTCCCATGCTACTAGTCCCATTTCAACTCTCACTTTCGCATGGCTCTCTGAATGCACTTTCGCATGCTCCAACAAAACAATCGCGGCGACAAGTCGTAGTAGTACCTATCGTACTGTACTGCGCGTTCCACGCGTTGATTTAGGACCGGAGAACCGTGCCGGGATTTGCCTATCACGTCCCGGTCTCCTTCATGCACAAGTGTTAACTGTTAGATTGATCTCTACTGGTTGGCCCAACGGTCAATTGTGCTCTTATTTGTGCTCTGATCGGGGGCGTCCAGCCGTTCTCCTAGCTGATGGCCTCCTGTCGCGCAGCGCTATAAAGAGGATTGGAGGGCCGGGGCGTAAGGCACGAGGTTCATCGCAACCGCCAGCCCCACCAAGGTTCCTAGCACTAGTCCGATTTAGAAGGGCGCGCTGTGAGCGACGAGAAGTACCATCGTCCTCGCCGCCACCACTGGACAGCTTCTCCACGTCGCTGCTATATCTACGGCGACGCTATGGCTGTGACTATGAGGTACATCGTCAAGGTTTTATCTAAAGTAATTACCCACTGATCTACAACCAGAGGTCCTTCAATCCTATCACTAACGGGATCAAGTTAAGCACAGGCACAGCCGCCACATTGCAAAAGGCGCACGTTAGGAGGCTGGAATCGGATACTCGTGCAAAATTAGGACGATTTAATCTCGATTTTCTCCACAGTACTGGACTGGCTCCCCACGATTATGCATGGACGGACTAGTGCGGGAGGAGAAAAAGAAAGATTGGATTCTCTCAAGAATGTGGCTCCCCACGATTACGCATTGTGTCACTTATTATTATCCGAGGGAAAGGGATGTAACATAGCGGGAAAAGATGTTATGGGTTTGGAAATAGACTTTTAAAAAGTAGGGTTTGTTTTTGTCTCGGATGATATATTCTAGAGAATCCTAATATATTATAGAGCATATTCGAGAGAGAATTAGAATACGGTTGTCATATCAGTGCTATTTCGATGAAGTAGAGATTAGTAGTAGAATGACACTTGGCAGCCTAGATAAGCTCGAATGGCTGGTGGCAACCGCGACAATGAAAAATTTTTTTTTTCTTTTTCAAAAAACTCATTGGTTGTTTGTGGTAGTTTCGTTTTGCTTTTGTGCCACCAATAAGTTATTGACAGTTAATGCGTTAATCAACCAAAGCAAAACGTACTTATTCTTGCTCACACAATGAGCTTTTGACAGACAGTTAAAACGAAACTACCACAAACAACCAATGAGCTTCTGTGGTAGTTTAACTTTTTTTTAAGATTATTCTCGCTCACACAAGATCTTAAGCCCTTGTTGCGACGCCATCGTAAAAGAGGCTGCTATTGAGGGTGCTTCTTTACAAAACCCATTTTCGCAAAGGAGCTGCTCGTGTTTTCTTCTCTGCCAAACGGACAGTCCCATTTTATTTCAAAATTAGCTTAAAACAGACGATGAAGAAAGTTGCCATTGAAAAGTTAGTCGGTGGACATAGAGAGTTGCCTTGTGCTGGCAACACACCAAAACGTAACAGATCACATTCTCGAAAGAAGAAAGCCTAATTGGCCTAGTTGAATTAGTCAGCTAACGACTCGACGTGATGTGTAGTAAACACCCATAACATGAGCCTTATCAAGTGGTTTCCCGGAATGGACCAGTTTCATTTCATGGCTTCTTCCTTTTGAGATGAGTTTCCGTTGGTTAAGTGGGACATGGGGAGCATGAAGTCGTGGGCTCATGCCGGACACAAAAATGAACAATGGCCCTTCCCTTTTTTCTCTCTCTTTTAGAATGCACGCCCACACAAAATTCCCCTTTCTAAAACAAGGACAAGGTAAAACGAAAGAGTTTAGTAGAATCTTTTTTTTTTTGCATCTTGAAAATAAAAAAGTTATTTTTCTTTTTGAATTTTGAGAGATGAATTGGATGGTTAATTGAACAGAGACAAAAGAATCGCTATTCGTACCTTTAAACTCCTTCATGACATTATTTGCAAAAAAAACTCCTTCCTGACATATACTGAGATGAGTGGCCACATTGTCGAAAGAAGCGGGCCTAATAAACAGTCCATGGGTAATCGCCCATGATGAGTAGTGACCAAAGTGCTGTGCTAAAGAATGAGCGATTGTCTGTTGGTGTAGTGTGGGTGTGGCATAGGTGCATATCGTCACATGTTATGTTTCCGCTCACTTTTGGCTGTAACCGGAGCCCATGCAAGAGGGCAGCGTGCACAGACGTACAGATGCACAGTGTATTGCATCGCGGTTCTGCAGTACTACTTCAGTCGTACCTGCAGCGAACGAACAATGTTTTTCTGTCACAGCATTTCAGCATAAGCGACAGCATAAGCCAAATTTTAGCGAAACCAACGGGGCCAATAAACCAAGTGATGTAAAGTAGATTGGCCTGCAAAGCACACACATTAGAGGATGTTTGGATCTTGCCCATTGTAGTCTCTTCTTACTGGGTAAGGATATGTGTTTGGTTAAACTTGCAAAATCATGCTTTGCCAAACAAGCTTACCAGCCCCAACAAGGAAATCCTAACTAAGGAAGAATACCTAATTTGGGGGAAGAAAATTCTGTGGGCGATTGGTCCAAAGCCCCGTCCGTGCACCCCTAGCTTGGATGGCTGCCACGTGTTGCCTCAAGAAAATCAAACGGCTGGGAGAAAAGGCACCTCTGTCGAATCTAAACAGCTAGTGCCTTAAATCATGGAGGTAGTTGTTGTGACAAGCTGGTGGACGTGAGATTTAATTAACTAGCCACGTGTCAACATCATCGAGGGCCGCACGGGGCTTTGGACCCATCGCCCACAGAATTTTCTTCCAATTTGGGTCTCCGGGCCGAGCAAGCCAAGCATGCGCAACGAGACAGTCAGGATGTTATAACCATTGAGAAAAAGTTATCTGTGCGAGTCGTTTCAAAAAAAAAAAAGAGAAAAAGTTATCTGTGCGAGTGATAAATGGTTGCGTGTATGCATTTCTGATGGTGGGCATGTACGCTGTTGTTTGGTTTTTTTGGTATGCCTCACTTAGCCTCATCTGGTTGGCGCCCGGAGTGAGAATCTTGCCTGGCTGGGTGAGTTAATTCGGCTCTCGCAAGCGAGCAATACAAAACCCGGCACGTAAGTTTTGAGGTGCTTAAACAAGCGAGCATACTTTATACCCTCACTCGGCAAGGTAATATAGTAACAAGCAAAGAAACCAAACAACCTCTATTTAATATTTATGAGATGCTTCTCGTGTATGCACGGTAGAAAGCAATGACTCAGAACTCCAATAATATCAATGACTACTGTAGCACTAACGCAAACTTTTTCACATGACAAAACAAACAACCAAACACCATACTTATTTTATGAGCAAAACAACTAAACCATGTTTCTTTCCTTACTTAACCTATTAACCTTACTCAGTTCAGTTAGCCTTGCTTTGCCAAGTTAGGTCCTGTTAGGAGACATACGGTTTTAAGAGACTCGGATAAAAAAGTTCTCAGAGTCATAGAATCCCTTCCAAACAGTTTAGTAGATTTCACCACATAAACACGAAATCTAATAAACACATTAGATATTTTTTTATTTAGATTCTTAAAATTTATAAGGATCCAAACGGTACAATGGTACCTTACCTGGACCTAGCAAAAGAACCAGACATATAAAAAAAAATACGGATTCTCTCCCCCACCCTAGACTTATCAAAAAAAAAAAAAAAGCAAAAGAACTAGACATAGGCCTCGTTTGGATGGTATGGTTCTGGAGGAATTTGGATGGTTTAGAGAAATTCTGAAGAAATTTGTGAGAGAAAAATACTATTCTAAATAAAAAAAGAAACGAATCAAGCTAAATTTAAGGGCACGCAAGCGGAGCCGTATACGAGGTTCCCTTTCCTGGCGGAACTGCTCATATATTTGTCAAACACACTCCTAAGATCAACGTACAGTGCATCCAACAGAAGTACCAGCCATGCGGCAGTACTCCACAGAAGCTTCTGGAGCATACGGCGTGGACAAAAAATGAGTGGAGGAGATGGTGTCTGGACGTTCGCATGTGAGATTTTTTTACTTTTTAACGAGTACGGCATCCATTGTTTCGAACATCAACGGCATGTTCGGTTGGCTAGTTCATATTGTTGTTGACTGATTTATATTATTACTGATTTATTTACGAGAGAGAAGTACTATTGACTGGTTCAGATAAATAGTGTTTTTATAGGAGGACTGGACAGCTCAGTCAGTCAGTCAGCCCGCCCCAGCCAATCACGCTGCATATGGATGTATGTACCTAGCAAACGGGTCCCACGTAGGATAAGGTACCTTATCCATCTATCTAGAATTATAATTTTATTTAGATAAAATTTGAGTGCTAGGATCACGTTCTTTTTTTTTTTTTGACTGAGAGAGTACTACTGGGTACTACTACGTGGCCACTTTGAACAGGGCGTGTCGGCGTGTCCAGTAGAGATCAGACGTACGACGGCGGGAGCATGAGAGCATTGTGCGCCCTGATCTTGATCTTGACTTGGAAGCCATATTTTTAATAAATTAAATAACAGTATTTTCAATCATCGTTTATAGCCAGGGCACTGTGTTGTTGCCGCTGTCATGACTGTCAAGCCGGTGCCACGCTGCCACTCTCTCATCCGCTACCCGTCCACGTGTCGCGAGGCCTATTTCTTTAGCCCCATTCCCGGCCCCGCCGCCCCTGTCCTTTTCAGCGTTGTTGTTCTCACAAGTCAGAAGCGTCTCGTGGCTCCCTTGCTCGCTCCCTCGCTACAAAACCCCAACAAAAACAAACAAATCCGGCCTTGTTTGATGCATTAGTATTCACTTTAATTCATGTAACTTTAATACACTCTAACACATATTAAAATTTAGTCCCTGTCATATTAAATATTTAGACACATACATGAAGTATTAAAAATAGACTAATTATAAAACTAATTACATAGATTAAGACTAATTTATAAAACGAATCTAATAAGCCTAATTAGATTCATGTTTGGTATTTTTAGTACCAGACATCACTAAACCTCAGTCCCTCAATCTAAACGGTCCGAGATGCATCCAGACAGGAGGACGAAAAGAAAAGGGAAACGGAACCATCTCCAGAGCGCCGGTGGTGGAAGCGAATGCAATGGTTATCCGCACTAATCCGCGCCACTTTAGTGCGGGGGGTCCATTTGTCGGTCTCTACTAGTAGTGCCCGTGGCCCCCACCTGCTGCGCCTTTCCTTTCTTTCCCACGCGAATGTAGCATTCCTGACATCCCGGCACTGCAAGATACCCCGTCTCTGGACCCAGAAGTCAGTGACGCACACGGCACACCCTACCGTTCCTTCTAGACGCCACGCCACGCTTGCTCTGGCTTCCTCCGAAAGTCAGGCAACGCAACGAGTTCTTCACTAGATCCGCTGACTCGCGGGACCCACGCACCCGCGGCCTGACGCGCGGGGGCACACGCACAGTCGCACGCTGCACACACGTTCGCGGTGGTCGGGGCCCTCGCCTGCTACGCGTCCACAGACAGGGCGCCACGCCGTGGGGCTCCACGCCGCGGGCCTTCTATGAAGTCGCGTGTCTTCTGCTCTGTTCTCGCGCATCTCTCGCCACGCCTCGCCAACTCGCCAGTCGCCACCACCACACCACACTCGCGGTCGGCCGCGGGCAGGAGCGCGCGCGGCGAACGAACGACCCACCGGCGGCGGCGGCCATGTCTGCCCCGAAGCTGGACCGCACCCCGAGCATCCGCGACCGCGTCGAGGACACCCTCCACGCGCACCGCAACGAGCTCGTCGCCCTCCTCTCCAAGTAAGCGCCGCCTCCCCGCCCCGATCGACCCCGATCGCCACCCCTCGCTGCCTCGCCTCGCTGACCTCTGATTTGTTTGCCTCTGCTGCCGCCGCGGCGGGTAGGTACGTGAACAAGGGGAAGGGCATCCTGCAGCCGCACCACATCCTCGACGCGCTCGACGAGGTCCAGGGCTCTGAGGTCCGCGCGCTCGCCGAGGGCCCCTTCCTGGACGTCCTCCGCTCCACGCAGGTGCGCCGCCGCCGCCCATCGCGCGCTTCTTACTTTCCGCGGCAGTGAAGATTATTTGTTTCGTTTTTCTGTGGAGGCTAGCTATGCTGAGTTGCTTGGTTTTGTGTGCGTGTATTTCCGTTCTGCAGGAGGCGATCGTGCTGCCGCCGTTCGTGGCCATCGCGGTGCGCCCGCGCCCGGGGGTTTGGGAGTACGTCCGCGTCAACGTGCACGAACTCAGCGTCGAGCAGCTCACTGTCTCGGAGTACCTCCGCTTCAAGGAGGAGCTCGTCGACGGCCAGTATGTGCTGCTTAACCCCTCGTCCCTGTCCTCTGCTTTGCTTTCGCGGGGATTTCTGGTACCAGGTTTATTTTATTTTATTTTATTTTATTTATTTATTAGGGGGTATTATCCAGTGCAGCGTTTAGCTGCTTTTGCGGCTTTAGGTTTTCGCGTCTCGTGGGTCACTACTTGCTTCTCGATTTGCTCCCCACCACCGGTGAATTAATTTGGTGAGTTGGGGGCAATTTGGGTGGTTAATTGTGCTCGTGAGGGGTGTACATCTCAGAGTTGAGTCGTTGGTCAGGCGATTACCTTTATGCAGCTCAGCAGCTGGGCTTGTTGAGTTGTTGGGGTCCAGTCAAGTTGGTACTCCAATTGGGTAAACATGGCACTTTTGTACACCTTACTTTTAATGTCAATACATGTTTTGAGGACAAAGTAAGCTCCGTAGTGTTAACAACTTTCCGACTATATTGTTTCCTAGATTGATGTATGCAATAAGTTAGTTGAAGTACCTTCACGTTCCTCGTATAGTATAAGCGAACATTTTCCTCAGACTGTTTTCATGTTTAGCTGTAGTTTTCTTTTGTCACTTCATTATAATTTATAAGAGCGTCTTTAATGCCCTGTTTAGAGTATATATTGCCAAAAAGTTACAACTCTATCCAAAATGGCAGGCACAATGATCCCTACATTCTTGAGCTTGACTTTGAGCCATTCAATGCCTCAGTCCCACGCCCAAATCGGTCATCATCTATTGGAAATGGTGTGCAGTTTCTCAACCGGCACTTGTCTTCAATCATGTTCCGCAACAGGGATTGCCTGGAGCCCCTGTTGGATTTCCTCTGTGGCCACCGGCACAAGGGGCATGTGAGATCTTCTCTAGACATGGAACTTTTTGGACACAAATTTGGCTGATGTTATGTATGGTGTTGAGCTGTTGATACTGAAGCTATATATGTGTGGTTATAGGTTATGATGCTAAATGATAGAGTACAGAGCTTGGGGAGGCTTCAGTCTGTGCTGACCAAAGCTGAAGAGCACCTGTCAAAGCTCCCAGCTGACACACCATACTCACAATTTGCTTATAAGTAAGTCTGATCTACCACAATGGTCTTATTGGTCCTGGCATTTTTTTTGTTGCGTCTACTTTGGGCCTTGAGTTTGTGAATAAACCCTGCATTGCCCAGACGTGCACTATTTTAGCTTGCAGTTTGCAATTTAATTTTCTCAGAGCTGATTAAAAAAGCTCTTGGATGAAGAATATTTTCAATAACAAAGCTCATGTTGATACTTACAAAATCAATTCTTTCAAGAAGGCATTTGTAAGCATTTTATGCTGGTCATTTTGGCATGCCATTAATCTGGCTTTTCATAACCAATACACTAGGAAAATAGTTATCTTTAACATATAGATATGTTTTTTTTTGTTGGTAACATTCAGATTTCAAGAATGGGGCCTGGAGAAAGGTTGGGGTGATACAGCAGAACATGTTTTGGAAATGATTCATCTCCTTCTAGACATCATTCAAGCGCCAGACCCATCAACCCTAGAGAAATTCTTGGGGAGGATCCCCATGATTTTTAATGTTGTTGTGGTATCCCCTCATGGATACTTTGGCCAAGCTAATGTATTGGGCTTGCCAGACACAGGAGGACAGGTAATTAGGACATGGGCTGAGACGTTAACAAATCTTGAAACCAGCCATCTTCCTGACCCTACACTTATTGCAAGTCATGAGTTTACTTTGTTGCTGTCCAGATTGTCTATATACTGGACCAAGTTCGTGCACTAGAAAATGAGATGGTTCTTCGTTTAAAGAAACAAGGGCTTGATTTTTCCCCAAAGATTCTCATTGTAAGTGCATTTTTATTTTAATTCTTTCATTTTTAGCATCTGTTAGGATTGTATATTCTCTCTGTACAGCTGGGCTGTTTTGTTCATCAGTCCCATTCTTTTTATCGTGCTCTTGTATGCTGGTTGAGTTTTAACTCCTTACAGGAAACAGAAGAGCTTTTAATTATGGGTTTTGCTGTAGTACTCCGAAATAACAGTGAGCTGTCCATTTAATTAGATCTAGATGATTATGATCACATATGACCCCTAGTAGGTAATAGGTGAAATATATATAAGAAAGAAATTTTTTGAGATTAAAAAATCTTTCTTCAAGATCTAATTGTTGCATGGGTGATTTGTTGGAAGTGACAAATATATTTGTTTTGGAACTTTGGAATGTGACTGACTATGATTAGTCGAAAGTATGTGTATGACGGCCTGCTGCTCATTTGGATGGCAGTGCTGCTGGCAGCGCCGAACTTGAAATGAGAGCCTATTGTTGCCCTTTTTCTGTTCTCCGGTCACCAGGCTACTTGATTTTTGAAGCAAAAAAAAAAAAAAATCACTCATAAAGCAATGGTGGCGTCATGTTCTTGTATAGATTAACAAGCAAAAAGTCAAAAAAAAAGATGAACTCATAAAGCAATGGTGGCAGCATGTTCTTGTATGGATTAACAAGCAGAGTAGTTGCACAGAACAATTAGTTCAACTCACAAGATGTTAAAACAATGTTTTTTTTTCCGGTCACATGCACGGAAGTGCATGCACAAACTGGTCTAACGTTAATGGTGGGATGAGATGCCATCCACCTGAAATCAGGGATTTGTTTTTCTTTCTTTGGTATTTCTTTTTCTGGTTTCTTAGTTATTTTATTTCGTAAATTTCTAAAAATCAATGGCCATGATTTGTTTGAGATATTACTTTTTATGTGGTAACTAGATACCATAGCAAGGCTCATCAAATTATTTATTCATTGTTTTCTTTCTCATGTGTTTAAGGTTACTCGGCTGATACCAGATGCAAAAGGAACATCATGCAATCAGCGGCTTGAGAGAATTAGTGGAACAGAGCATACTTACATATTACGAGTTCCCTTCAGAAATGAAAATGGGATACTTAAGAAATGGATATCAAGATTTGATGTGTGGCCATACTTGGAAACATTTGCTGAGGTGAATATCATTGGTTCGTTATGGTCCTTGCTTTGAACACAGACCATGAGATGGCTCTGGACTGTCTTCTTTTAATGGAAAAAAATTCTGAGGAAAGTATCTTATGACTTGCATGACACAGTGTAAAATCTGTGAATAGTTAGTTAGGAGACGATATTTGATACTCCCTCTGTTCAAAATTGTAAGTCATTTTTGTTTTTGTAGATTCATAGTTACTATGTAACTAGACATAGTGTATATCTAGGTGCATAGCAAAAACTATATGCATAGAAAAGCCAAAACGACTTACAATTTACAATTTGGAATGGAAGGAATATATTAGGAAAATGCCCGAGACTCTATAGGTAAAAATCCAAATTATTTCCAGCAGAGTTGCATAAAAAAGGACCACTTCTACTTTTGCAAGCATTGATTTCTTATATGCAAAATTTCTGTGTACTGATTCTTTTTCTTACCTGACACTTTCTACTTCAATGATGTTTCCCATTTCCCATTTGACAAAAGCTGTATTTTCCTTTTTTTTTATACAGGATGCTGCTGGTGAAATTGCTGCTGAATTACAAGGTACTCCAGACTTTATAATTGGAAACTATAGTGATGGAAATCTTGTGGCATCGTTGCTATCTTACAAGATGGGAATTACCCAGGTATGCCCTGTTAATTATACTTGAGCTCTTGCATTTGTTTCATTACTAACCATATCTGCATGGTCCTTGCAGTGCAATATTGCTCATGCTCTGGAAAAGACTAAATATCCAGATTCAGACATATACTGGAAGAAGTTCGATGAGAAATATCATTTCTCCTGTCAGTTCACTGCTGATATAATTTCTATGAACAATGCTGATTTTATCATCACCAGCACATACCAAGAAATTGCTGGAAGGTTTTATTCTGCTCCTTTTTGTGTGTGTGTGTGCGTGTTTGTGTGTGTGTGTGTGACTTCAGCATTCACCAATTGATTTGCGAGCATACTGAATCATGTTTACTTCACTCATGCATTTACTTGCTCTGATGTTAAGTTATTGTATTGGTGGTAATTAGGGTAACATGCAATCCATGGCTTTCATGAATTAATCTTTCATGGATTGTGATCACATATGGATAATAGCTATTCTTAATTTCCTAATAGATGCTCATACTTATTCTAATTTTTCCTCTTTCTCAGCAAAAATACTGTTGGACAGTATGAGAGTCATACTGCTTTTACTCTGCCTGGTCTGTACCGCATTGTCCATGGGATTGATGTCTTCGATCCTAAGTTCAATATAGTCTCTCCTGGAGCTGACATGTCCATATATTTTCCATATACTGAAAAGGCCAAGCGCCTCACTTCTCTTCATGGTTCAATCGAAAGTTTGCTTTATGACCCAGAGCAAAATGATCAACACATGTGAGTACTTTATGTTATCTTGGTCCTTTTTGAGGCCCTTTGAGTTGACATGGATGTCCTTTGCAGTATTCTCTTCTAATTTGAACTCTGAAATCTCTGCTGATGATATGGTTACCACTTTGACCATTTGGTTTTTATTTGGTGGGATTGTAGATAGTGGTGACATGTGGTTCTTCAATTATTTCTAATGATGACAATTGTCCCCCTAATTCGCAGTGGGCATCTGGATGACCGATCAAAACCCATCCTCTTCTCCATGGCAAGACTTGACAGGGTGAAAAACATAACAGGACTGGTTGAAGCTTTTGCTAAATGCACTAAGTTGAGAGAACTGGTAAACCTTGTTGTTGTTGCTGGGTACAATGATGTCAAGAAGTCCAAGGACAGAGAAGAGATCGCAGAGATAGAGAAGATGCATGAACTTATTAAGACCTACAACTTGTTCGGGCAGTTCCGCTGGATCTCTGCTCAGACAAACAGGGCCCGTAACGGCGAGCTCTATCGCTACATAGCTGATACTCATGGTGCTTTTGTACAGGTATGGCTCTGAATTATAATCTAGAATTCTAGATAGAGGTTCCATACTTGACATATGTATGGTCTGGTGGTCTAGCAGCTCACATACCAACTCAAATTTTGTCATGTTAACTACAGCCAGCCTTTTATGAAGCATTTGGTCTCACTGTCGTGGAGGCCATGACCTGTGGACTTCCTACTTTCGCAACACTCCATGGAGGGCCAGCTGAGATTATAGAGCATGGCATCTCGGGCTTCCACATTGACCCGTACCACCCCGAGCAGGCTGCTAATTTGATGGCTGACTTCTTCGAGCGATGCAAGCAAGACCCAAGTCACTGGGTGAAAATATCTGAAGCAGGACTGCAGCGCATATACGAAAAGTCAGTGTTGGAAATCCTGTTTGACTCATGTCTCTAGGACTATAGGAAAATATCTGAGGCATGGGTGCATACCTTCCTTTTCCGCATGGTCTCTAGTGTGATGCTTATTTTCTTTGTGTTGCCTACCAGGTACACATGGAAGATATACTCTGAGAGGTTGATGACATTGGCCGGGGTCTATGGTTTCTGGAAGTATGTGTCCAAGCTTGAGAGGCGGGAGACAAGGCGCTACCTTGAGATGTTCTACATATTGAAGTTCCGCGAGCTGGTGTGCTCTGTTCTCAACCCTCTTTCCTTACAAAGTTACAATATATGAAATGGAATTTTGTCGCAACATGTTAGAAATGATATATATGCCGTTACACCAAGATTAGATTCAGTAGAAATATATCTTTAATAAAAGGTCTCTTATTTGTAAAATTGATTGGCTTCTGCTTTCCATGCATGCAGGCGAAGACAGTGCCGCTTGCAGTTGACCAGCCACAGTAGTTGGTCCTCCCCTTGGTGCTCGTAGCTTGCTCAACTGTTACTGTATGTACCACTTTGGTACAAAACTGAACCTTATCGCAGGGAAGGACCTTCAGTAATTTAGGTGCGGCAGACGGTAGCTAATAAAATGTGTATATGCGCTCGTTTGCCTTATGCTGAACTGAACCTTGTGCCTCCCTGGCTATGTTGGTTGAACATCTAGGCTTTTGTACATAAGGCAGTTTGTGATCCACCTGTAGCGTCAGGCTATGTGATCCACCTGTAGCGTCAGGCTACAGTTTTCTGTACTTTGTGGTCGGTACTATTTACTGTAATGCACTAATACTGTCAAGCTGTCGGCTGCAATTTCTCTGCAGGCAGGCCGCAGGCGCTGGTAAAGTGCTGATAATACAGCATATTCTGTTGGTAGTGAAGAAACATGTTCATGGTATAGATTCCATTTTACTTGCTCTGTCGTTCAGCTTGTTTGGGAAGATTTGGGCGAGTTTGGATGCTGTGGCCATACTAAATTTTGGCCGTTAAGCCATTAACTGACGATAGTACTGCTGTATGGATTGGTGACAAATATTGGCAAGCCTGCGCGTATGTTGGCACAGGACATAAAACCCGCCCACGCTTGCGACATAGAGAGAGAGAGAGCATTTGCTTATGCATAGCCGCTCCGCTGCCTCCCCATAATGCTCCACTGTGGAGTGTCTCTTTTGCTTTACATAAACTTTTATTCATTCTTCTTTCTTACTTAATTGAAAGACAGCTGCTGCCGTTGCATTCAAAAACTTGCCTGGCCTGCCGTAGTCACTGGTCCGCTGTGAACCGTACATTTCATCTCACTGATGCCGAACATGCCTCGACTCTGCACAGCCCTGTGATTCCGTGTTTGGGATAAGATGGGATAGGATAGGATGATGGCCATTAGGGCCGGGCCTTATCGGGGCACGAGGCACGGTCTGTTAAGACCCGGCCCGAAGAGCTTCGTGCCGTGCCGGCCCGGCCCGCAGCCTATTGCCGTGCTTAGGCAGACCTCGGCACGCTGGGCCAGCACGAGTACGGCCCGATATGAGAGTCGGCCCGCTAAGGCCCCTTCCGGAGCAATCCCAAACCGGCGCAGATCCGCCGTCGGGCTCTTCCTCCCCCGTCCCCACTCACCGCGAGCTCGAGTTCGCCGTCTGCAGTTGGAAGGCGCGGCGGTGGCGCCCTCCGAGGCTTCTCTTCCTCCCTTCGCGTCCGCAGCTGGATATTATCATCATTTGAACTGTTCAACTAAGTTTGGTGAGAACGGAGGAGCAGCGAGATATATAAACTAATAAATAAATAAAACATTCATGATTATGATAATATAAGGAGGATTTGGATTTCTCCCCTCATCCAAAACAAATTACCTCCGTTAATAATAACAAAGTTTGGTGGAACCCAGGACGCTAATAATAACTAAGCGCTTCCTCCTATGGGCCCAGGCACGTCGTGCCTTGCGTGCCTGCGTGCCGGCACGGCACGTCTAAGGTCACCTAGTGCCGTGCTTGGGCTCGAGTGTTGGCACGGCACAGCTAGGCAGTCGTGGCTTAGCGTGCCGTGCCCGTGCCGTGCCGGACGGCACGAATGGCCATGTATTCCAATCTGAACTCCTGAATTTTTAGGATAGAATGATGGTTGTTTAGTTCTTATGATGAGAACGGTACCGAAGAGGATTCGCATCAGCGCCAGGCGAGAGCCGAGATATGAGTGTTCAAAATTTCGCTCGTGGCAAGGTTCTCAGTTCACCGGACCTTACTAAATGGGAGTGCCAAGTGCCAACTGCCAAACGATTCAAGAAACTCATAACTGAAATTTAATCTTCAGTTCGTACTGACATTTTCCGCGGACGTACAAACGCAACGAGTCGTTACCAGTTTGCCAGACGGGGGGAAAGAACCGAAACAGACATCACATCATACGCTGCTGTCGTACTGTGGAGCCTCTCCGGCTCCTTGCCCTGCGGCGGCGGCGGCGGCCACCGCGGCGCGGCAGAGCGGGCACGTCGAGTTCACTCGGAACCACGCCTCGATGCACTCCGCGTGGAACCCATGACCGCAGCCCGGCACGAGCCGCGTAGCGTCCTCGGCGTCCCCGTCCCCGAGCTCCGCAAGGCACACCGCGCAGTCGACCTTCTCCGCTCCGAAGCGTGCCGCGGCCACGCGCACCAGCACCGACAGCGGCGACGACGTCGTCGCTGTGCGAGGCGTGCGGCGCGCTGCCTCCCCTGCTCCGTACGCCGCCGTCGCGTCCCGAGACGGGCAAGACGGTGACGGCGGCCGAGCGGACGAGGTGGGTGGTGAAACGGTACCGCCGGTGGAGTTGCTTCTGGTTCCGTGCTTCCTGCACTGCCAGATGAAGCGCCAGATGAGGTAGAGCAGGATGACGAGGATGCTCAGGGCCGCGAGCGCGGACGACGCGCGGCTGGAGACCCGCCCATGCGGCGCCGGCGCAGTGCCACTGCCACCGCTATCGGTGTCCATCTTCGTGTATCGGCCTATGCTCTGGCCACCCCCGTTAGCTGACAAAACTAGCCGGTACGCAGCGGCTCGCAAGCACCAAGCAGAGTAGAAGTTTGCACTGACTGGAGACATAAATAGAAGTCTTGGGTCCAGATCAGGTAGTAATATAATATGATCGCGTCCATAAACGGTAGTTAGCTCACTAGTACTTGTGAGTATTTTAAATTAATCACACCATGCCGTTAGGTTGGAATAATGCCGTCATTTGTTGCAGGGGAGCAATTAGCCGCAGCAGCTACGAAAGTAGGAAGTCAGCCTGGTTTGTAGGTACTGCAGTATGATGCATGCCGAAGGCGAGAAGCACTTCTGACAGTGATCTAGCTTGCTGTAATATCAGGTGTTTCTAGCTGACAGCGGCCTCAGCCTCCTAAGGTATTGCCTTATCTATAGTTTTTTTTACGATCATGTCTTTTACCCATTTTTCATTAAGAGGACCGCCAAAAGAAAGGCCGGGTAATTATAGGATTACCTGCAGAATTCGAAAGACACAAACGAACAGCAAGAAAACACGAGGGGGAGGAGGGGGAACCACACCTCAAAACACCAACCGACTATATGCCCGCAAAAGAAAAAATACATCCGCGCAATGGTTGCCAACAGATGGGGTGAAGCCGTGGTGGCAAAACATCCATTGGTAGAAAGCCTAGCATATCCAAGCTACTAGGTAGCCGCTGCGAAGAATAAGACGACAGTATCCGCAAGCAACCAGGTAGCCATTGCGAAGAGGATGACACCAGTATCCGTCAGGCGACCAGGTAGCTGCTGCGAAGAAGAGGACGACAGTATCCGCAAGCGATCAGGTAGCCGCAGCAAAGAAGATGATGACGACTACGACAACAACAACACCCTAGGTGGATATACCAAAGCGAAGAGAAAGCTGAAGCGCGGTAGGCACAATACAAGCTAGGAGCGGTTCCGACGGATGGTGGCCAACAACGAAGCCTCCAAGAAGAAAATAACGTCCACAGACGCCAACAACATTGTTGGTATATTTAACGCACACAGATAAATCCATAAGCGCATGGATACCACTGTAGCTTTCACCCGGAAGTATTCCAAGTCTCGTATCCATAGAAAAACGTGTGAGAGTAACTACGTCTAACTTAACCCGGACTAGCAAGAAGACTTAAGATAATAGGAGTATAGAGGAGATTACAAATGTCTTCTAGTTCTAACTTCGGTAAACTATGTCTTCTATTGTTCAACTGAGGATATTACTAAGAGAAACAAGCAAAATATGTTTTTGTAGTAACTAAATCCTGCTAGGCCTACAAACAGGAGGTGGATTACAAATGATTCAATGAGGCTATAAGAGTCACCCTCGCGAGCTACCACCGATCCGAAATATAGGGTACATCCACAAGTAACCCGGTCTAAGCACCATGCTTACACATACAATTATTACTTTAACCTAGAGCATCCTATAGATTAAAACACTCAAAGAGTTATGAACCTGATGAACAATATAAACATGATACTTACTTGAATTAGAAGTCGATTACCAGAGAATCCTTAGAAGCAAGCTCAAGTAGAACTTGACTCTGCCAGGGTACAAGCCATAGAGAGAGCACCGACAGGCCGGCACTTTCTCCAAACTCTTCCCTCATACTCTATCTCACTATTATTTATAAGACTAGATCCTATAGAGGACTAATATTCTCTTGATAGCTGGCTCTGACCCTGACAAGGAGAATACAAATTAGGGTTTCAGGATGGCTCTAGAGAGGGGGGGGTAGGGGCTGCTATATATAGGCCGAGGTGGAGTAGAGGGCAAGGAATCGAGGTGGAGTAGGGGGCAAGGAATCACCACGTCATCGATCCACGTCAACTCTCTCGATCACCGTTGGATAAACCGACCTAAAACTACCTTAAAATCAATGGTGTAGATCTTAGGAATGAGTACGAGGCAGCGGAGGGCGAGCGGGCTCCATGGTAGGCTGGCCGGCCTATGGGCTGGGCCGGTCGGCCCACTTTCATGGCCCTTTGGCCCAAGCTTTGGCGTGATGTCTTTTCAGTTTTTGCGGGTTGAATCACTTGTTGTCACCGGTTTGCTTGTTTGGAGTGTATGACAGTGGTCCCGGGAGCTATTTTATGGATAAATCCTCCTACAGTCATGAAATCATCAAAGCTCATGTAATTCATTAGTTTAAACCCCTATACCTATGTTTGGTGATGGAATTAAATATAAATGCAGTTATGTTGATGATTTATAATTGGTGTTAGTGACCGTCAATAAACGTTGAAGAGGGCACAAGGACTTTCGTCCCAGAACCACCCCAATGACTCACGCGATGAATTGATCCTTCGACGACGCCTTCAGGAAGGTGGACGACGCATACTGCCCACCGCCGCCGACCCAAAGCGAGAAGCCGGGCAGGGTTTTCACCTAGGAGCTTGTTCGACCACGGTCGCTGGGGGGTCCCTTTGGCCCTAGTCACCGGCCCTCGGAGGCGATGGCCACCGTATGGTGGTGGCCCAGCCATGTCCAATCACAGCACGTGCCCATCCGCCGAAGTCCCTAGCGCCCGCTAAGGCCCGTCGGAGATGCACGGGAAGAGGCATGTTGAGGAGGAGGAGGATGGGGGAGCCAGGCACCGACCAGCCAAATCTAGCTGCCTAGGCCATGGTCACGGACGCTGGCCGCTAGCCCCCAGAGGCGTGAGTTGCACCGCCCTTGCCCAGCCAGATCCGTAGGCCAGGCAGTCACCGGTAGGCCTAGCCCACCAGATCCGCCCACCGGCCATGGACCGACCAGATCCGGCCGTCGACAACCCTAACAGGCCACCGCCACCCTAGTTTAGGCAAGCCAGCCAAATGGATGCGATGGTCTGGCAGGGATGGAGGCTGGCCCAAGCTCCGCCCACCAGGTGCTCGCAGCTGACGCCACGCCACCTTGGCCAGGAAGGAGCCAATCCACACCGCCACATCACCTAGTGCTTGAAAACGCCAGATCCGGTGTGGAGGCCGGATTCGCCGGCTGGCCAGCCCTCGATGCCAGAGGTAGAGGGGAGGGAGGAGATGGGCTAAGGTGGAGAGAGAGTAGAGAGCATAGGGGAGGCCTTTTTGAGCGCCCCTGCTGGCCACCGTCGCCGCCACGCCACTGCGGCCTCCTCCTCGGTGGCGAGGAGGAGGCCGCAGTGGCGTGGCGGCGATGGCTGAGCTGGTGAGGAGGAGGGCCGAGCCTCTATGGCCAGGCCAGAGCCCTTGAGTCGCCCCCACTAGGAGATAACGCGAGGGGAGGGCACTGTGCTTTTTTCTGTGAGATCCATCCCCTTATGTATATTCATCTTATGTTCTCTCATGCATTGTGGTTCATAAAGAGTTTAGCTCTCCTCTTCATACTAGCTCAAAGGTTTTTAACCTCTCTTTTTTCTACATGTCACCAAACACTAGCTTAGAGCTAGTCATTGGCCCTATTTAGAATTGATTATAGTCGGAGTCGTCATGGTCACCGCCGCAAGAATCGCGCCAAATGTTCTGTGGTGGCGATGATTCTAGAATGAACTGTGCGGTCGATTTCGATACTGCGATTGCACACCATGATCCCAAATAGGGTGATTTGAAGGTGCCTTGATCTAGGAAGCACTCCCACATGTGCTGCATGCCTATCTAGCCCGGGTCTCACCCAAAATAGCCTCATCTTATTGTTGACAATCAAAAGTGGCTAACGGGGATCCTACAATTTTTATATTTCAGTGCCTTATCTCTTTGTGTGTAGGAAATAAGTCCATAGACCTCACTAACACACTTTGTATTCAATGTGGACTTTAGTGATGTGTTTTCGCTTTAATTTAGTTTTCTGAGCAATTGGGAAACTTGTTTTAAACTAACTTTCTCCTTTATGTTGTAAAACTTTAGAAATGCCTATTCATCCCCATCCTCGATCAGTGGTGGAGCCACGTTAAGGCCATGCTGGGCTTTGGCCCCCTTCGTAGAATTGATTTTGAAGAGCCGAGCCATAGTACACTAGCTACATACAAGTTTGCTCCTGCTAATCTACACAGGCGCATGGTTATAAGCAAGTCAAACTTATCTCAACCTCTCACCTGTTGCTCTCCTCAATGCATCAACCCTTATTACTTATGTGCTGCTTATCGTTTGTGCAATCTAGACTCGTAGCCATCTTAAGTTTTATCGCAATCGCAGCATGCACTTTCCGCAGCGCTTGCAGAGTGGCAATACATATTCTTGTCAGATTTAGTTTGTTTTTGTCATAGCGGATTTTAGTACAACTAGCTTGGTGTCATTTAACTATTTAGCACGGTCATGGAATTGGCCTACCCTAGGTTTTATGGCACGCTCCGCCACCATCCTCGATCATGTACAACAAATTTCACAATTTATTGAAATTTAATGGTGTGAACATTAGGTTTTTAATTCTAGGTCTAGTGTTCGACATGGAAATTATTTATATATCTGATGACACCGATCTATATAAAATAATGGTTAATCATATTGAATTATCTCCAACAAATTTCAGTCAATTTCGCTCAAGTTTTAAGGTTTGAACACAAGATTTTTTAATTCTAGGTTTGACTTTCGATGTGGGGCTCACGTATATATCTAGTCACACCAATCTACACAATATAGTCGGCAATTATATTGAGTCATCTCTAATAATTGTTAGTTAATTTCACTATGAAAGTGCAATCAAGCCTTAATTGTGGGTTTTGATGATAATGACCGTGCAATTAGAGAACTAATGAGATTTATCGAGATGACAAGCAGAGAATTCATATTCGAGGATGCTACATGAAATGGAGGAGCCCTCAATTATAAATATAGATGGCTTCATACTCAAAGGAGGTTTAAATTCTTTTATATATTGAATTTGAGTATAGAAAAAGTTATACTATAAAGGGGGCACAATGCTTAAGCTAATATGTGCTACCAAGTGCTTAAACAATCACAAGCATCCTCAGATTCACAGCCAAGACAGTCTACACTTTATTATTACCCTT